GCAAATTATTGATACACCCGAAGGCGATAATAAACAAGTACCACAATTAAGAAGAACTAATGAAAAAAAGACACCACCACCTGGGAATGTTGAAATTGTTAAAGGATCAGCTTACGGTAAAGTTATTCCGTGCATTTTCTTCTATTGAATTGTTTATGAAGAAAAAACAATCTTTTTTTTTTTTTTATTTCAAGGTGCTTTTTCACGAGCATTTATCGAGTTTGTACAAACAAGTCCTATAGCAAAAGAATTACTTGATTGGTCGCGTGATGCATATAGTCCAGATGAACATTATTGGGCAACATTGAATTATAACACGCATTTACATACTCCGGGGGGTTATAAAGGTAAGCATGATTAACTTATTAAGTAGTAGAAATAAATGTAACAATTCAAGAATGCATAACGAATGTTTTTATTGAATTGTTTTTACTAGTTTCTCTTGTTTAGAAAAGCTCATTCGAGATTAAATTTCGTTCATTATATTTTTAGATAGATTCTTTCATCTTATATATACAAACATTCTTCTCGAACAGATGGTTTTTTTTTTCAAAATTTTTCTAAGATTAAAATACTGATATTTAAAATTAATTTTTCGCCAAAATAAAAGATGTTTATTTGTGTACCAAAAGAATGAAATTGTACAAGCTCTTGTATACCAAATGATCACTCAATAAAGTCAGAAAATCTTCTATGTTGACTATCTGCACTACAAAATAATAGAGATCCAGAAACATCTCAGATTTCTGAAATTTCATAGTAGACGTAGCCAACTAACAATATTTTCTGACTTGTTTTAGTTGATCATAACTACCCATAGTTATTCTTCTTCATACTCATACTCTATTTAGATAGTTGTAGGTGATCACATGGTTGATAAGAGTCCGTACATATTTGTTCTTTTGGTGAATAAATAGAATTTTTTATTGTATTTGTTTTATCACTCGATAAACATTTCAGCTAGATGAGATTCAAACTTGTAAATTCATGATTTTGAAGTTTAATGAGAAAATAAATCGTTTTAGTGGCAATTTAGTGTTTTTTACTGTTATAAAACATGATTTTATATGTTAATTTATTTTAGCGAAAACTGATCCAACTAATTGGACTGCTCGTTTTGTAAATTGGGGTGAACAAAATTGTTATGGACGTATAATACGTGGTATTTGTGTATTTGGTATAATTGATTTACCAATTTTATTAAATCGACATGAATTATTTGCAAATAAATTTCATTTAAATGCTGATCCAATTGCATATCAATGTTTAGAAGAACTTATATTAAATAAATCTAAACTTGATTTACCATTAAATGATGCAATATATTATCGTCAAATGCCTTTTTTGTTACCTTCTTAATTTATTTTGTTAAAACCGGTTATTCATATTGAAAAATATTTATATGAATAAATTAGACCAATTAGTGATTGATTCTAATCAATAATTATAGAATTATCGTGAAAATTGATTTTCGATTTATTAGTTGATTACGTTATTTTAATGCGACATTGATTTCATTGACAGAAATGAATGAAACTTAAGCATACGTAAAATATGCAGCGATATTGATTTAAGTTCTAAGAGAAAATTGAATATTAATGCTGAAATTTTGACTATTTGTGCACTTATGAAAAACCTACTTTATCGCATTTCGTTTTTGCAAATATTTGCATGTCATACTTGAGATAAGTTAGGCGAAAATTATATAAATGGATAAAATATTATGGCTCTATTCAAGCATATATTAATTTAATAAGATCTATTCGGATTAGAAAGTAAAATATTCTCAAGAACAAAAAATTTACCCGTAGAAATTCTTAGAAAACCAAGAAACTTATAATAAAGATAAATTCAATAAAAAAAATATAAATTAATAGAGAATTAAATATTCTATTGATATATTTAGAAACATTCTCGAAATTTATCATATTTTTGAACAAAATCCAAGAGAAATGGAATGAAAGCTCTATATGGTTCGATAGAGTCATCAACGCTCTATTCAATTATAACAAAATAAATCTTTAAGATTTTATAGAAATACACTAAAACTGTCAAAAATAACGTAATCAATCTATAGTCCATGAGATTTTCATAAAATTTTCAAGAAATATTATAGACACATAACAGTAGAATTACGAAGTTTTGGTTATATCTCCAAATTATCACTATTCAAGAGTTTTCTAGTGATCATTGACAATAATATAGGGGAGCACGACTGTTGTGTGTAAGACGATTGTGTGCAGACAATTATATGTATGGACAATTGTGTGAACAGACAATTGTGTGTTAGATATTTGTGTGAAAAATGAATGTGTCCTATGCGGAAATAAATATTTTTGTCAAAAAATGAAGAAGATCAAGTTGTTGACTCATCGTAAATATTAAAAACCGGTCCAAATCTTGGTTTCCTGAGTCGCATTGCAGAAATTGTTCTTTTTTCTTTGTAAGAGCAAATGACCCGTTTATATGTATTTCTGATATTGATCGAGGATTTGCTGAAAAATTTAGATTAGCAGCACGTCGTCGACAGATGGTACGTTTCAAGTCATGGATAGGTGGAAGCTAGCTTAACACTGTAGTAGATGCTGTAGCAATTGATGTGGCAACAATTGAATGTGTGGCCATTGTTGTTTTAGACAGGTCACGAATTTCAGAACGACAATGACGAATTCCACTTATACTCGGATTTGGAGCATGATTGTAGTCGCCAACTAGATGACAAATTGTGTTATTAATTGTATGCAATCTAGGTTTACATTTCTGTTTGTTGCATTGTGTACATCGCCAATATACTTTATTTTCTTGAGTACGTTCTTGAATGTAATCAAAACCGTTCTCAATCAGAACCGGCTTGTCTTTTTCAGTTTGAGAAAATAAAATGGACATGATGTATTCGTACTTTCAATGTGATCTATANACCGTCAGGTGTGATGAAAGCAATAGATATTTTTTTAAATAAAAGTTAATTGAAAAAATCGAAGCAATTTATCAAAAATAAATAAAATATCTTAGAAATTGCGATAATATTAGATCAGATTGGCGATAAAGCAATGAATAATGTTTAAAGTAATCGGGGAATAAATCGCGATTTATCGTAATAATCGCTAAAAATATCATTAGAAATCGGCGATTAATCGCGTTTCAGCTCACGATTATCATTTCGATATATCGCGATTGATCAGTAATTTTTCAGCGATTTTTACGACATGGGTTGCTAAATATTGTTTCGAAGGATTAATGTTAATAGCAAAAAGAGCTTCTAATCACGTATAATTGAGAAATATTTTGATAAAATTGAAACTCATGTATCTCCTGTTCTACTAATATTTTGTGTTTGATTTTTTAACACGAAATATGCCCATTGTGAGCCCACAAAATCACATAATCAAAATAGCGAAAGTAGTTGTTTATCTTTAATTTCTCTTAATTTTATTCGAGAGTCCTTTTTATTGTGGTTTACACGACATTAATGTCAATTTGTTTTGATTATTGATAGTTTCAAGTAAAGTCTCAAAAGATGTGTTTTTAGACTTTTTTAAAGATTTATATTGAAATTGGTTTTAGTCTTAGGCTAGAAATATCTCCTATTTTTGCGATTTTATTATGAAAGGAAATTTGAAAAATTATTAAATGATGAGACAACTTTTATTTTAGGTTTTGTACTAATTTTTTTAAAAGTAAATTGCATTTTTTGGCAAGAGACAAAGCGCTTAGTAAAACCTATTCATAGTTAAAGGGTGTGAATGTTGGCGAAGATAAGATCCAAACCTACACTCACACCCTTTTCATATTAAAAAAATATGATTCAAATGAATTCTTGATCCCCATCAAATCACGTCGTATTTTCATTTTTCTTGGAATTTTCTTTTCTTGTTCCGACGTTTCATTCATAGTTATACATGAGAAATACTGTTTCCATCAGAGGCGTGCCGATGGTGTGAATATGAATGTATGAATATGAATTTTTTCTTCCTTCAACGATAAACATCTTCATCCACACCCATATCGACAGCAGCATCTTCATCCTCAATTTTATATCGCTCAAACGATATGATTGTCCGAACTTCTTCTGAATGTTTCAATAAAGATAAGGAAAAATTGTCAATAATTTATCTTTCTTCTTTAAAATGTTTCCTTGAAGTTTCATTTTATTAAAAATAATCACTGAAAGATTTTTCGGGTTACAAAACATACGTTGATGTGATTTTTTTTAATTTATAAAAAGCTTTCGAGATAGCAGATGACGTATTGTTGTTGACAGAAGAAATGCTGTTTTATAGGTCATACGAAAAAATAAATAAACTGATGGCCTGACGTTTTCGCATTCGGTATGGAGTAAAAAACGAATGATTAAAAATTACACCAGTAGCTGAAAGTGCGATTGATTTGCATCGGTTTCCCGCTAACAGGTGAGTCACATGGCAAAGTTTTATGCTTTATTTCTTCGTAACGATTTTAGATAGTAGAAGCTGAAAAGTTGAATGAGGCTGGACAGTTTCTAGATTAACAAAGTTATCGAAATTCGATAGGGTGTGGGCGTAAGTATGGATGTTGGTATGCGTCACTCACATTCACCCACTTCCACACACACCGACATCCACACCTACACTCACACTCACACCCCGTATTTCCATGCAGTACTTGATTTTTCTATTGGCTGTTTATTGTCGAATACAATACAAGTTAATTATGAAACACTGTCTAGTAAAACATGAATGAAGGTCAAAAAGCAAGCACTTGTCTCCATACAAGTAGTAAAAATTTATAGCGATTCTGCTGAATTCTTTGTCGACAGTTGTGATAATTCTGGTTCTCTGTACCAATGAATCATCAGCACATTTTCTTGTTTCACATTCTTGACACCATCAGAAAAAAATTTTGTTTTTCGGTTCTTTTTTCTTTCAATATTGACTCAAGATTAATACAGCACCGGTTAATAATGTCAATGCGTTGTCGTGTTGTAGGCCGAAGCATTCATTTAATTGAAATAAACCAAGAGAATGAGTGTCGATGTCGATGTCATCATTATTGGAGCTGGAGCAGCTGGTATTGGAGCAGCGATCGAACTGAAAAAGACCTCTCTATCCTTTGTTGTACTTGAGGCGCGTGATCGAATTGGTGGCCGAGCATATACAGACCGAGAAACATTTTCATCGATTCCCATCGACCTTGGTGCTAGTTGGATTCATGAATATGAACCAAACAATCCGATGTATTTATATTATCAAAAATATAAAACTGATGAAAAGAATAGCTTTGGCGACGACGACAGTGACGATGAGGTAGTCAACCTTGATTACGATGGTCAGTGTCTTTCACCAGAAGTAGAACAACAAGCAAAGGGTGTATGTGCACAATTATTCGAGCACTTGGAAAAATTTGCGTCTGAAAACGATGAACAAGAGGATAGAAGTGTTGAAGATGTGATCAGATCTTACTATGACCAAATTGTCGAACCCTATGGGCAAATTAAACGTATTATAGATAGTTGTCTTGCTACTTTCGAAGTGTATGAAGCGTCAAGTTTTCCTGCTCTTTCCGCCAAACAATGGGAAACTATTGATGAGAGTACGATATGTGAAAGATTCGTTTTATTCGGTTACGGAACCATACTGGAACGTATTGTTGATCAGTACAAATTTCCAATTCGTCTGAATACTGTCGTGACACATATTGATACGTGTAATTCAGATCGAATCGCTGTCTGCACATCAACTGCCGATTCTCCGATTTTTTGTCGACGTATTATTGTGACCATACCTTTGGGTTGTTTAAAACGAGAGACGGTCGTATTCAAACCGCCATTGCCCGAATGGAAACGTCAAGCTATTGATCGAATGGGTTTTGGTCTCATGAATAAACTCATTCTGCAATTTCCTGAGCAATTCTGGAATGCCAAAAAGAAAATTATATTGCGTACATGCGCCGAACAACGGGGTCGTTTTCTCTATACAGTATGTCTACCTTCACCGGCCAATATTCTTATTCTTCTTATCAGTGGTATGTATGCTCGTGAACTGGAGCATCTCACCGATACTGGGATACTTGACCAAGTGATGATCTTTCTTCGACAAATCTTTCCTCAATTGCAAGTACCCAACCCTATAAAGACCAAGTTTACAAGATGGTCTCAAGATCCATTTGCTTTTGGTTCTTACTCAAACTATGCCGTACATGCAAATGAGCAAACAGTAGAAATGTTGACTCGAGAGACAGCCGATGGTCGAGTACATTGGGCCGGTGAACATGCTCATTTTAATGATGATACAAATGTTTGGATGCATGGATGTGTTCATACTGCTTTTCAAAGTGGTCGACGAGCCGCATTAGCAATTAAAGATCAGCTTGATTCCTCTTCCTTTTCTTTATCCATGTAATGTCTGAATTTCTGCTTAGAATGCAATAAATATTTCCAACGACATCCTTTCCAGAAGATAACATCAGTGACAAGATCGAGTCAACAATACAACTTTGACACCACCCATATAGAAGTGATACAGTGAGACAAGAACCTTTTTGTTCTTCTCTTAATATATGAATCATGCAGGCTTTCGATTCAACACGCATGACGATGATGGGAAACGGAATGCAATGGTAGCAATCATTCACCGATATACCGTCACCGGTGCAAACCGATAGACGTATGTACGGTTATCGTCACCGTTGCATCTCTAGATAGGAACTTGAACGGTCGTTTCAGAATAAAAACTTGCAAAAGAGATAACTGTCAACCACATTCTGATTTTCGATTGTGACAGAAAAGCAGTATCTGTGCCGACAGTCAGTGCATATTGTGTTCTCATTTTCTGTCTAGATACTAACAGCGTGCGAGCAGTCAATCATGATTCATCTAGATCACTGTATATCTTCAACAACAATAATCATGCACTCTCTCAACTTGTGTCTCTCTCATTCTCCTCTTCTCAAACAAATATATATAAGTTGAAGGAAAGGAAAGAAGAGGTAGAAATTGTTGTAATAGTATATGAAATAGTAAATCCAGAAGGAATATAACTATTAGTATATTTCATTATAGTCATAGGCCGTATATAATCTAACTAGAACAGCCCAGTCAAATAATAATGGAAAAATGGTCTTTAAAATGCATTTCGACTCGTTCGTGAACCATTTTCACCATTTTATGAGTACCGAGTCTATTTTTACAGAGTATTGAGCTAATTTGAATATATTTATAATGTCGAAGACTTATACAATTCACTAGTTTTGCTTATAAGCATTCACATTTAACATAAAAGTCAAGTATATAGTTCAAAATTCCTACTGAGAGTCGATTAAAACTTTCGATTGTGACGAAGACAAACTCAGGAATAGTCAGAGACAGTTTGTTTTTGCATGATTTTTGACAATAAATTGACAAATATTATATCGCGAAAAATTGTACTTTTCATAATACCCACCGTATTTTAAAAGTTTTCCCATAAAGATCGGATGACTCTAGTTGAAAATAGCATCATCTCTTCTTAAAGGCAATGGATTTCATTTTTGTCTACCAAATACACGACAAGTCATAGAAAATTGGCCTAGTACTGTTTTTTTTTCAACTCTACAAGAACGAATGCGACTCTAAAGAAACAGGGTACGATGAATTTATCGACTCTCTAGAGTAAATCGTTAAGAAGTCAAGTTTCCTTTATGTTAGAGCAAAATCAGAATCCATATCACATTCACAGATCTATAGATTAAAGTTACACTATTAATTTGAACAAAATTGCACAGTTAGGCTATGAAAATAACATTGTAGGTCTCCTATACGAAATGAATTATAATGTATAATGCTAAAAGTTATTTCTTGCTATTCAAATCAAGGCATGTTCATTATTATTCTTATCATTATATGTATTTGTTAAGTCAAAATAATCATGCAAAATCAGAATAGATACAGTTCAATTTTATTTGCTAACATCTTGTTGACAAAATATCATGTTCAATATATGACGTCGGTGAGGGTGCGACGAAAAGACGAAGACACGGAAACACAGACACCGTATATATTTCTTCAGTGAAGATGCGGGGAAAACATGAGCACACGGAAAATACTAGATGGTGTGTGAGTGTGGAGTGTTGACAAAGAGAAGATCCACACCCACACTCTGTTATGCTACTGCTTTCTCCTATATGAAATATAGTATTAATTCAAGATGAATGTAAACTCTTCTTATCTTGAGAATAGCATTTTATAAGCGAAGGGCTTATCTTTTCTTTTTTTAGTGGAGATCTTTATTAGTTGATTCATGAATAACTTTTCCTAACATTTTATATCCAAATACGAACTTTCAGAGGCCTTTCAAATAATTGTAATTTAAAACAAAGAAATTCTACTTGTTAAGATGTAAGAATTCAAAAAATTTTCTCACAATACATGGGTAAAAGTGGTTCATACTAAGTAGTCATGTTTACAAATGAACTGACTCTGTCAATTTATAATTCTCAATCAAACAAAAAGTGCTCTTCATATGCACATCTGTTATACAATAATAATTGCTATTTCTTTACAAACTTTTGTTCGAATAACATAAAAAACCAATATACTTTACAATTTCTTTCTTATAAACTCCAGATTATCTTTATACGTTTGGAAATTGGGATCATTTTGGATTAATGAATGTTGACTAATGAGAACAGCACGCTGATGAAATGAAAATGCTTTCGAGTATTCACCCATACTGCCATATATAAGACCAATGTTATTGCACACAATAGCCAACTGAGGATGACCTGAAGGAAGAAATTTTTGACAAATTTCCAGCTGTATTTCGTAAGACCAAGCTGCTTTCAAATAGCTGCCCAAATTAAAATACATTGAAGCAACATGACTGTACGCAGCAGCAAGATGAGGATGATCTGGAGGAAGACTTTTTTCATAGATATGAAGTCCTTTTTCATAAAACAAAAGTGCTTTTTCGTAATCGCCGATGTTTTCATAAACATGACCAATGTTACCATAAGACTTACCAATATAAGGATGATTTGAAGGGAGATGTTTTGGAAGAATCTCAAGTGCTTTTTCAAAGGACAAGAGCGCTTTTGAATATTCTCTCTTCTGATCATAAACTGAACCAATATTGCCGTATAAAACAGCCAAATTAGGATGATCTGATGGAAGACTTTTTTTGTTAATTTCGACAGCTTTTTCGTAATATAAAATTGCTTTCGAATACTCACCCATCTTGAAATACTCGCCACCGATATTACTGTAAAGAATACCTAACTCATAATGATTCGACGGGAGGGTTTTTTCTATAATCTCAAGACTTTTATTGTGAAATGAAAGTGCCTTAGAGTTATCACCCATATTACTATAAACATAGCCAATATTACCGTAGACAACAGACAATGAAGAATGGTTCGAAGGTAACGTTTTTTGGTAGATGGCAAGTGCAGCCTCGTGAGATGAAAGTGCTTTAGAATACTCGCCCATGCTACAATAAGTTGAACCAATGCAACCGTAGCAAGCAGCTAAAGCTGGATGATTTGGAGGGAGAGTTTTTTGATAGATTTCAAGCGTTTTTTCCTGAGACGAAAGTGCTTCTGAGTAATGTCCCATCCTGTCATATATAGCACCAATCTTATTGTAGGACGCAGCCAAACTAGGATGATTCCAAGGAAGAGTTTTTTGACTAATATCAAGACCTTTTATATAATATGAAAGTGCTTTGGAGTATTCGCCGGTATGTTCATATACATGACCAATACTATTGTAAACAGCAGCAAAATCATGATGATCCAAAGGAAGAGTTTGTCGATAAATATCAGACGCTTTTTCATAAAAAGAAAATGCTTCTGCATAGTTGCCAAGTGTATCATATAATCCACCGATGTTCAAATAGGATCTCGCCAAATTGAGATGATTTGAAGGAAGAATATTTTTGTTGATGTCGAGTGACTTTTGATAAAATGAAATTGCTTCTTCATAGTCACCTTGACCATCCTTCACTGCTCCGAGCATATGATAGAAATCCGCTTTTTCATTATCACTTAATATATGATTAAATAATATTTTGTATACTTCTTCGGCTTTTTTAAACAGACCCAATTTAATGAGCAACAGACCTAATCGATCCCATCCAGTCGGTCCTGCAATCTCTTCTCTGATTGTGTCAATAAGAAGCCGAAGGTCTTGATCATTATCACTAGTGAGAGACAATTTCGCCCTCCACATTCCGCTGTTATTATTAATTTGTGTGATGTCATTAATGCGAAAAATTGTGTGCATGGAGAAGAGAACTTCGTCTTCCGTTTCATATTGACTTACAGAGTTGATAAAAGCAAACGATGTCGATGGTATAGATGGATCAATAGTTATCTCAAACAGAACACCTACTAAATCAGGATTGTCTTGATTGCTTTCAGCGAAAGCGTAAGAAAGAAATTCATCTGTACTAGTCGATAAAAAGTTATTAAAAGATATTAATCCACCTTTTGTTTTTCCCATTCGATCAAAGTCTGTCTGTGACATACCTTGACCACGATAAACAATAAATGGTTTAGATTGTTGATGATCATTACATTGTTGAACATGCAATTTTTCAATATGTTGATGGAGATCACGAAGAAAGAAACCCATCTTAATGATGATATCAATTTCCATCATTCGTAGAGCACGATTGATTATCGAATATAGAAGACATTCATGGGAATACCACCATATAGGAGTATAACGATGGTATCCATGTTCCAATTTATCAATTGCATCTAACTTTCGATCATTTTCAGCACATTGTTCACGACAATAATTGGCGAAATCTTTAATATTTGTATCATCGAAATGAATTGTTAATAAGATTTCTTTGAGTATTTGTGTGTACATAAATGACTGATCAAGTTGATCTAATTTCCGATTTGATGCGTCATAATTCGTCGGAACGAAGCTAATTGAGATAGCATTTCGATCAAATTGCTGCGTAGCTCGATTCAACTTTTCACAAATTGACGAAATTTTTGTAAACACACCCTTTACTTTATTCCATTGCTGAATACAAGCATTATCTATTGATTCGTTTTCAGAAAGAATATAAATAGAGTTAAGTTGAGGGATATCATGAATAAGAGGTACAATATATTGACTAATACTAGCAGCAAGAATCATGAACACCTTTTCATCTTGAATATCAGTAAGAAAATCAACACATCGATTCATATTTGTAAATGTCTTCACAGTATTCACGACGCTTCGTAATTGCATAAGATTATCATGTTTATTATTTTCGTTTACTTCTTCATTATTAGAGTTGAGCCAAATGACAAGAAAGTTTTGAACGATTTGGATGATGTTAGTAAACTCATGTGGTGCTTTACTAGTGTGTGTTACAGACGATGATGCAACAGCAGCTGTACTGTTGGAGGCAATCAACAGCTGTTCGTTTTTTTCTTCATCAGTGGAACTTACACCTATTATTGAGTGTTTTCTATCCATTGTATATTACAGGTATGTTGTTAATTACAAATAGTAGATAATAGATACTGTTAAAAAGAAATGAGAACACCTTTCATTTTATAAGACACTAACTTCCTCTTCTAGATTTTTCTTTTCATTGTTGCTCTTATGCGTTTTTTTTTATTTTTACCGGTTGTTATACCTTTTTTATTCTTTAAGTTTATTATTATAAAAAACGAAAGTGACTAATAAATATTTTTATTACCAACCAACGAGGAGAAAAGAGCAATACTGATTAGGTTAGTTTATATTCTGTCTTAACAGAAAAAAAGAAAAAATTGCAAGAAAAGAAAGTATGCATTCACTTTGTCTCTATTAACCTATGCTCCATACGAGTTTCTCTCTACTTCGTTTCATACTCGTGTAAAAGCAAGAACGTAATAGTCACTTTTTCTTTCATAATGAGTCAGGATTCTACTCGGAAGTGCATACAATTGCAAGAAAAAGAGAGAGACATAGTTATGATGAATTAAAATATATTATCACTTCTAGAAGCAGACATATCCAGTATACCAGTACACTCGAATGTCTCATGAAATAAACGAAAACTAATATTGTGAATGATGTCAAATTTTATCAAAACGGATATTGACATTTCCTTAATAGTTATAAAACAAGAAAATACGTTTGTAGATGTGTTCTTTTTTTTCGAAAAATTCTCGTATGTCAAAGAATTTTGAATGAAAGTAGCGAATATGAGATTCTTGACTATCGCACAATAAAAATTGAACTTAGTTTTTTGTCTGGAAATCGAGACAAAAATTAGTTACTAATGAGGAAAATCCTCCATCTGATCAGTCGCTTTTGAGTCAAGACTATGTGTTTTATGTAGACCGAAATGAGTTATGAATACCCTGAAAAGAGTCTATGTTCTTTACTTGTTGCTACGAAAATAATGCACTTCTGCAGTATTTTTTCCATGGATGCCGTGATTTCTCTCAGGGACACCGGAAAAATTGGTTTTCGAACTTCCACATGAAACTTTCCATAGAAACAGACCTAAACGAGAATATTCTATTGTGAAAGTTTCAGGTCTTTTGATTCGCTTCTATCCAGACATGCACGCTTAAAATCTGCTGTTGTATATGAGCGATGTAAAAGACACATTCTCACCATAACTGTATGTTAGAATAGAAATAGTGACTAGATTTGAAATATTCATAACAAGCTATTCTCGCTAAAGTTTGTCTCTATGCAAATTTTCAAGTCGAAAATTGAAAATCAGTTATTCTGAGGTCAAGCACGGACGACGTTCATTTAAAAAATACCGCAAACATGTAATATAGCGTAGCAGTAAGCTAAGGACACGCATTCTTTTTAGAATGTTCATAGCTCATTTGGATTTACATCATGCGCATAATCTCGACTCAAAAGCAACTGAACAGTTGTAGGACTTTGCTTGTGAGTTTATCATACTTAAACAAAAAAAAATATTCAAGACGATAGTACATATTTTACTCTTAAAGAATTGAACAAGGTTTTTTTTTATACATAGATTTTATTTAACAATAAAATACAGTTTTTCTTTTATTGATATTTGAATACAAAACAAATAATGTTCGGACTGGTTGATTAGCTATTGTATGTGACATCTAGAAATAAACCGGATATAACTATTGATTCAATTCTATATGAGTGTATAGAAAAATCTATGGTAAAATACCTTTTCTTTTTCCAATTAACTCTCTAATTCTGTTATAGTAGATGATTGCCTATTATGTGTCATATCATGTATTTGATTTTGTTTAATAAATTGATTTAGTAAAGAATTAACTTGTTGACATAGTTGTTCTGTTGATTGTGATGCATCAATAATTTTTATAGAACATAAATTAAAATTATGTATAAACTCATCATAATAATATTTTATTTGTTCCAAACGTTTTAAATCAATATTTGATTCTGATTGACGTGAACGTTGAATAATACGTTCAAAACATTCTTTTGGTGATAAATCAAAATAAAGTATTACTGTTTGTGATAGATCAATCGTTTTTTGACGACTATATTCAAAATAATCTTGAAGAATTTTATATTCAGCTTCATTTAAATAGTTTTGTTCAAGATCATGACGAATAAATACATGAAAACAACTAAGAACTGAACGTTCATATACATGAATACGATGATTATTAATTGCATTTAAATGATTTTTTATACGTGATAATAGTGCTGTCATTTCAAATGCAAATGTCCATCGATTACTTTCAGTATATAAAGCTTTGAGAAGATCAAAACCTTTTATATTCATCCAATTTTCAACCGGTTCACGATGAACTTGAGCAAGATTCGATGGATAAGTAGATGTAATATGAGACATTATTGTTGATTTACCAACGCCTATATTGCCTAATAAATAGACACATACAATTGATCGATTAGTTTATAGAAATGATAAAGTGACAACAAAGATCTTCTATTCAGATCTATGTTTTTTTTATTTAACATAGTGTGCTTAAGTGTGTGATATCAACTTTAGCCGTCATTCTGGTTGTAACGATTACAACCGAAATTAAAAGCAAATGATTATCTTCTACGAAAATATATTGTAGTTATCGACTAGGGAACTAACTGATTGCTAAAAATGGTTCGTCTCTATGAACCTTTATTCAATATAAAATTTTGTTGATCGATAAATCTACATACTCATTGAATAGCCTGGAAATTTTCATTGAAAAAAGTATCAAGTTTCCAGAGAATCAATCAATCTCATCTCTAGCCTTAATATTATTACTTCTAAATTCGACAATTACCTGTACATTTTTCGAATTAGAATCCGTAAATTCCAACATTATGGTACGATTTTGAGAAAAAAAACGAATGGAGAACTTTTTTTGATTTAGAAAATGATATGTAGTGCGTTTAATTGTACTGCATGAGATAAGCAAATGAATAAATTGTCCCAACTACCACTATTAATATAACCGAGCTAATTTAGAATCGTTCAAAACTGATGAAAATGCTTGAGTGTGGCTTTTTTTCCCGCATATTCGTTGAATAACTGCAGAAATACGAAATATTTGCAAAATTCGTTAAAAATCCATGCAACTATAGGTACAAAGAACTATATATTTATATCATCTTCACTTGTGAAGTGTTAAGCACGTCATAATCTCACGTGACAGAAAATCAAACAATGACTCGACACCCTAGATTCAGAAAAAGTTTTAAACGAAAAAAGAAGAAATCGGTTACACGCCGTAATTTAACAGTTGACGGGACTATAACAATCAGTTGCATAGAATTTAATTCAAATTTATAGCGTCTAGCTCACCTTCAATCAATATTGTTTTAACCAAATTCAAAGAATGCATCTGCAATAATGAAAATTTGATTTTATTTTTCTATAAATCAAAAACCATAAATAACATTAAAAAAAAATTTCTTTATTCGGAAAAATTTTGTTGAAACTGTTTTACTATTAAATCATTATTATCCATCGTTTTCACTGTCAATGAATCATCTTTATTTTTCTTATCAAATAAACGAATGTGTGCACACATCATGTCTTTATTTGGTGCAACTTGTCGAACAAATCGATATGATATTTGATCATTGTTTACATTTGGTAATATTAATTTCAATCTCGTTCGTACATCTTCAACACGATCTTCACCTCTTGAAAATGTATAACAATAAATATGAATTGGTAATATCCATTGTTCTTTTTCTTCGATATTCATTGATAACCATTCAGAAATAACATCCAAAAATGTTAGAGCAAGTCCAGGTAAATTCATTAAAATTACAATTTTACTATTTGATAAATGTTGAGATTTTTCTTTATCTTCTACGACTTGTTTTTGATAACTTTCAATATGTGGAAAAGCAATAGTACGAAAAAATTCTCGTCCATCAAAATTAAATATATGATATTCTCGAGAGAGTTTTTTTGGTTGATTCTTTTTTAAATTAATATTCATCCATTTAAAACATTCCGGATTAATATCATTTGCATAAACTGTACAACCAAGCATTGAGGCTGGTACAACAAATGGTCCAACACCAGCAAATACATCAAAAACAATATCATTAGGACGAAGAATTTCAACAATACGTTCATGTTCAGTACCTGAAAGAAAAAAAAAAAAGGACACAAATCTTCAATAAAATAAAATAAAAATTCAATGAACATACTTAATCGTGGATTCCAATAAACTTTTGCAAAATCAAATTGAAATATTGCTTTACATTCACGACATTTAACAATAGTATTTGGATCACCAGCAAGAATTTCTAATTCGAAATTACGATAAACAGAATCGATTTCATGTAGTTTATTGACAACTGTTTTTACATTTGGTAATTTATCCAATATTACTTGAGCTGCAATCCTTAGAAGAAAACATAGATGAAATAGAAATTCTTTTTAAAAAAGAAAAATACTGTTTCCATATCTATTTCTCATTCGATTATCATAGTTTGACAAACAACTTTTTCTAATTAATTCATGAGTTATAACAAAATTTTTCATCTTTCTTTTTATTAAGTCATTCTATATCTCATCATCATGAGAAATATTTCTCACCAATAATATGTTTATATGGCAAAACTTCATCTCGTAAATTAAAATGAGCAATATGTCCAATAAGACTATAACCCGAACCATTATTAACACATTTATCTTTCATTAAATCATCTGGTAAAATTGCTTTAATAATTTGTTCAATTGTATAATTTGCATATGTTATTGTTACTTGAATAAAATTAAATGATTGTTTAATATATTCTTCTATTGATGGTATACATTTAATAATATCTTCTTTAGTTTTAATAATATCTGGATCAAGTAAAATTTGTTTTAATCTTGGTTCTAAATCACGAACACATTTAAATGAATGTAAAATAAGTAAAATATCTTTTAATTGTTTTAATTGAATATATTCAACTGGTATATTAATATAAGGTACAGTAATTATTTGTGTAAATTGATCACGATCAAGTTCAATCATACCTTTTATGGATAAAGGTAATGTTAACTGCATATTATTAAATAATAATTCTCAATAAATATTTATCTAGAATAAACAAAAATATATATTTTATTATTTAACTTTCCATAGGTTCATTTTCATCTGTAGAATCTTGTTTAACATTCATCAAAGAATTTTCTTTTACAAATAACAACATATCAAATGCTTCTTGTATAGCACGCAAACACGGATATTCTCTTGTATAACCACCCGCACGTTCAACTGGTCTTTCTTGACGAACATGATCTAAGTATCTATAAAAGAAATAAATTGTTATGAACGATAATTATAATAATTAGTTGAATTATTCTACCCGAGTTGTTCAAGATCATTTTTATCAGGTACTGATGGTCCTTGATGATCATAAACTGGTGGAGTATATTCAAATAATCGTTGTTGATTTTGATCGTTTGATAATGATATAAGAATGTCTTCTTCTCTTTTTATCTATCCAAAAATGAAATAAGATCAATTTAGAATTAAATTATTTTCTATACCATATTAGGCATAATTGGTTGAACATCTTCTTTACGTTTTCTTTCAAGATCTTCAATACTTTTTTTAAGTATTTGATCGACATTACCATTTGCATGAAGCTAAATGACAAATAAAAATAGAAAAACATAAATAAATAGAAAAACAATATTTTTACTAATGCTTCCATAAGATCATTTTTAACACGTTGTTTTGCTTCTTGTTCTTTTTGAAGTTCTTGTTCATAGATTTTTTTACGCATTTCTTCAGCTGTACGTTCTTGTTCAATCAAATGTTCAATAAATATTTCATCATT